CCCCCCAACATCCTGCAGCTGAAAGTTAAACCAGCGTCAGTCGGGAGGAGCTGCAGGACCGATGGTGGAAACAGGTTCTTACAAACACAGAACGGATCAGAACCACAACAGATCATCATGCCTCCACCGCCGTGCCGAGAGCTGAGCTGCAGCAAAGCACTCTGGGTAACCATCAGTGCTTCTGTCTGATCACACCTGGGGAAACTCTCCACCTGAGGCCACGCCCTGACCTAAGCCCCGCCTACTCAGGTACCACAGTTGTTGCCTAACTTAGTAGTTTTCAGTAATCTGTGGGATCTTAATGGAGCTGTGTCGTCAAAGAAAGGGGGCGGGGCTTCCGCTCTGACACAGGTGAGCCAGGTGGAACTGATCACCTGAGGGCAGAGCTCATTTTTCTGCTTTTTAGTAATATTTTCATCATTTATAATTTTGTTCATTTTAAACAGATTTATGATGTTTTTGTCACTTTGAATGAATTCATTTTGATTTTTTTGTTTGTTTTCTGTGTTTTTCTTTGCTAACTTTGAACTTCTGTCTTTCTGAAAACCTAAGTTTCGTTTCTGCAGAACGTTTTTCAGAGCAGACCTGTTTGTTTTTTTCATCTCCGTGTGAATTTTATCCCTTAAAGCAGCAGAATTAAACGGTTGTGTTTCCACTGTGAGCTGAAGAGGCCTCCTGGTTGCATCAGACGCTGATGTCAGCAGCATTTTTCTCCTGATGATGACACAGTTCACAGCTACAGGGAAAACTTTCTGCTCTCTGTAAGGGAAGGTTTCTGCAGGAACGTTGTGTCATCGCTGAGGTCCCGTTCTCTGGAACCACGAGGACCGGATCCACATGAAGCTTTATTAGCTCCATGTGCCTGGCAGGAAATCCCAACATGTCAGCTTAAAGGAGCAGCTCAGGATGTTACAGAGATAAAGTTTGAGTCTAAATATTACAATGAAAATATACGAATAAAACACAAAATGAGCCAACAGGATGCAAACTGTATACAAACTGAAACAAACAAACATGTTCACAAATAAAAAAATAAAATAAAAAAACAGGAACATGAATCAGGTTGTGAAGAAAATCATCAAAAAGAAAAAAAAACTGAAAACTGTGAAACAAGAAGTGACTAAATGATCAGAGAACAGCTTCATCAATAAAAACATCGAACAGAACCAACAGTCAACAAACTCCTCCCACTGAAACAACAAACTCCTCCCACTGAAACAACAAACTCCTCCCACTGAAACAACAAACTCCTCCCACTGAAACAACAAACTCCTCCCACTGAAACAACGTAACAGAAAAAACACAAAATCATCCTCAAACTTCAGATTCAACATGTTGAAAACAAACAGGAAGAAAATAAATATAAGATTAAAAAGTTCAAATGAACAAACATTTTCTGTTTCAATCAGTAAAACTTTCAGCTCAGAGTCGATCGTTAAAATAAAATAAATGTTTATTTTTCTCTGTATAAAGGTGAAACTTGATTGACAGCTGAGCAGATGTGTCATCACGACTCGCTGAGCTGCGGTCGTCCCCTCAGGTGATTGGTTCCGCCCGCCGCACCTTCCCAGGTGTCAGAGCTGAAGCTCCGCCCACTTTCCTAGATGACTCAGTGCTGTACCTGCAGCCTGGAGGAACTTCTCTTTAGAAAGTTTCCGTGTAAAATTTCACTTTTTATGCAACAACCTGGTTACCTGAGGACCTGAGACACCTGGAACACCTGAGACCCCCCCTGCTGAGACACCTGAGACCCCCCTGCTAAAAAAAAACCTGAGACACCCCTGCTGAGACACCTGAGACCCCCCTACTGAGACACCTGAGACCCCCCTGCTGAGACCCCCCTGCTGAGACACCTGAGACCCCCCTGCTGAGAC